TAAAATAAAACTAGTAGTATATTTTTGACGCTCTATCAAATGACGTTTAAAAAATTCTGTAAAAATACCGAAAATTTCGAAAACTAGCTTTTGTCAATTTGTTGCTATGTAAAAATTGGGCTTGTTTTTGCTATAAATTTTTAATGTAACAATACTTTGAGCTGTGATAAAAACTTTTAGTAAGTTTCTTACAATATTCTATCGGATGACGTCGAAAAAACTACAAAAAATTAGCCAAAACATCGAAAATGACCGATTTTAGGCCTATCCCCCTTGCACCAGGCTATCGTCAATGAGGATCCGTATATGGTCAGCATCTTATTAAGACGAGGCGCTGACGTTAACAAACGGTATTGTTGAATATTATAATTATAGCTACCCTACTCAACTTCTATTACTCTCTAATACCTTTTAAGGTGTCACGGCGCGTTCTTCTGTGCCGAAGACCAAAAGTCAAGTCGCACCGACTCGCTGGAGCACGAGTATGTCGAGCTGAGCACAAAAACAAACTATACGGGGTAAGGGTTAACCTTTGACGTGCTTGATTTGCGCATATTTAGTCGAATGTATTTCGGGGAATATCCACTGCATTTTGCGGCCTGTATGAACCAGCCGGAGTGTTATCGGTTATTGTTGGCAAAGAAGGTACGGTAATGTACGGTAAATAACAAAATAATATAACCGAAGCCATTTTTGTACCATTTTACAAAGTTTTTAGACATAAAAACTCATAAAAACTTCAAAATGATGATGACATTCGACTTTCGATTTCTTTCGAAAAATTTTTGTAACTTTTTAGCAATCAACAATTTCGAAAAACATTACCAAAGTCCTTTGTTACTATGAGCAGGTCAATAGATAGAGAAGAATAAAAATTCGCCCCCCCGCTAACGGACAAGTGCCGATTAAGCCAAGTTTTTAATTTTCTTCTTTTTAGGCAAACCCAAATGCAAAAGACACAAACGGGAATACGGTATTGCACATGTGTGTCATTCATGAGAATATGGTAAGTGGAAAAAATCAAATAAATAAGTAAAATCAGGAAATGCTGCGATTAGCCGTTGAGACGGGAGCGAATCTGCGAGTGACCAACAAACAAGGGTTAACAGCGCTGACATTGGCAGCAAAGCTGGCGAAGAAAAAGGTAAAAATAAAAATAACTCTTATGGTGATTTAGATCTTCATCGAACTCCTCGATCTTGAGTCGGACTCGGTTTGGTCATACGGTGAAGCATCTCAGGTAGCTTATTTGAAGAAATACAAATTAAATTTTAATTTAATTTAACTAAAAATACTAAATTCATTTTGTTTATAGACAGCCTATCCCCTCGCCGATATTGATACTATTAACGAGAAAAATGGTGAAATGAATGAGCAGTCAGCTTTGTCACTGGCTGTCTATGGGGTTTGTTCGTACTGCTTTTTCGTCAAGAAATCGAACTACATTAATAGAACATTACTATAATTAAAACCCTGATTTTTAGGAAACCGGTGAACATCTCGAATTACTTGACGGGTTGCTGGAAAATATTTTACAAGCCAAATGGGATGCGTACGCGAAAGTTTGGTATGTTTTTCGATCGTTATTAGTCTAATACTGGACGAAATTCTAGCCATAGTTGGTTAATAATTCGTCAAATTTTCATTTAATAGGTTTAATTTTTGAAAGCCGAAAATGTCGAAAACTCATAAAAATTTTTTTAATTAAAGCTGGTATCGCTCTTTGGGATTCTTTGTTTTTTACTACGTCTGCTTCTTCATGGCATACATGAATCGGCCATTTTCATTAACAACTGAGGTAACCAATAAAAAAACATGAATTCTACCCTCAAATTTCAGATCTCAACAAATGGTATGATAAATGGGGACGGTCAAACGTATGACCTTTCCAGGATGGTCAAAGATGTATTTTGACATTAAATAATTCACATTTTTATATATGTTTTAGGTGGACTATAACTTAACCCTTGTCGAAGTGGACGACCTTACACAATTTCGGTACTATGAATATTCCAATTTACGTTACGGTAGGGTGGAAACCACTTTTAAAGCTGGCTTTCAGATGATGTAAAGATGAGGTGTCACTTGATGCACTACGGCGAGTTGCCAATAATGCAGGGATACGTAAGGAGAAGGAGGTGTATCAACCATCGATTTTTTTTAAGGTACGGCTTGGGGCTGAGGTGCTGGTGCTTCTACAAGTGATTCTGCACCTTATCATGGATATAATGGACTTTCGGCGGATTGGGAGGAAGAAGTGGTGGAGTGTGATGGTTTGTAATTTGATACAAAAACGCGGGCAAATAGGAGCAAAGTTTTTTATAATAAAAAGGTTTTAAACATGGTCTTTGGACTTTAAAAAGCTCCTAGTCTATTTTTCGGGCTACGGTTTACTTTACCCCGGCCCAAGAATCAAAAAAATTTTCGATTTCGATATTTTTGCTTTTTTTCGGGGTTTCTCGACGTCATTTAATAGAGCGTCGAAAAATATACTACGAGTTTTAATTCAAGCTCAAAATATGGTAATGTAAAAGTTATAACAAAACAAAAATAACCATCGAAATGGGGTAAAATAGCTAGTTTTCGATATTTTCAAAATTTTAGCAAAATTTCTTGAACACCATTCTAGAGAGCGTCAGAAAATATACTATGATTACTTCCAGTTTGAAATAATTGAAAATAAAATGTTTATGGCAAAAAGACAAATATTTTCAGGCAGCCTTCCCCGCCAAACTAATCTTCAAAGCAACATTCCTGGGTGTATTGTTGATTATCCCGCTTCGATTGGGCTGCCATCTCAGCGAATATTTCTTTATCCTCGACAACGTCATTTCAACAATTATTGTGCCGATGACGACCATACATTTTCTTTATTATAGCCGGTATACCTTCAGCTTACCTGGCCTTAATTTTTAAACTACCTCCAGAGCCGTGAAATTCGTCGGACCTTTTGTGTTGATGATCTACACAATTATCGCGTCGGATCTGTCTCGGTTTATCGTAATTTATATTATCTTTCTGGTCGGATTCTCACAGTGTAAGTATCTATTTTGGCTATGTTTTAATAGTTAATTAAAATACGTTAATTCTAGCTTTCTACCTCATATTTACGGCATGCGAACGGGCTGCATATACGGCAAATGTGACCGTTACACAGACGACGGCTGATGATGGCGATTCTTTTCAGGTATAGGTTGAATAAATTTGACTTAATATCAATATTTTAGAACCTGATTCCGAATCCGCAGGAGGCTTTGATTCGAACGTTTATTATGACTATCGGTTTGCTAGTATTAACCAAGATTTAAATTTTTTCAGGAGAATTTATGTCACTTTATCGTGAACTGGCAGCCTGTGATTCGTTATTGATGTCTACGATTGGAAAAGTAATAATATACCTTCCTAGCTTGTGAAATACGCTTTTTAGGTGTGCTTTATCCTTTTCGAAATGGGTGTCTCAATCCTTCAATTCAATTTACTGATCGCTATGATGACGCGAACCTATGAAGAAATCTTTCAAACGTCCAAGGAGTGGAAACGCCAGGTGGGGCAATTAGGTTAATGCAAGCGTCTTCATAAAAATATATTAAAACTTTCAAATTTCTAGTGGGCGCAGGTGATACTGATGTTGGAATTGTCTGTGTCGCCCAAGAAACGGCTTTATCACATGCAACAATACTCGAGACCACGTGGGACACAGAAGGATATTCGGGCATTTGTTGTCAGCAAGAAAAGTGTAAGGGGGAATTGAGAAGTTTGAGTACAGGGTATCCCAAAAAACCCCTCGGCGTTTGGCTGTTTTCGATCCGATTGGGCACAAATTTTACCAGTGATGCAAACCCATCAAAACTATGTGCATCCACATTTTCAAGGTGAAATAATATAAAATGAAAAAATTTTAGCAGAAAAACTGGTTTTTTTGGCAAAAGATTTTGTAAATGACACGGGTTTTCGACGATATTTTCGCATTTAGTATACCGATTCTGAGTAAATTTCCCGAAAAGTGAGCCTTACGGGGCCAGTTTCTGACGACTTTCAGGATAAAACGTGATTAAGACTGCGATTTAAACGATATTTTCTCAAATCGAAAAAATATCCAGATAGAAAAACTAGGTCTGCATTTTTGCTACACATTTCGACGTCAAAAGCCGCCAAAATCCCAGTAAAATCGGCAAAATAACCCCGAAATTCGCTATAAATTTGTGCTTTATATTATTTTGCTTTAAAAATTAGGGTGTATTTAGTTTTTATTGCTGGTAAAAATGTGGATCCGATCGGGTGTAAGGCGGCAAGATGCCGGATGGGTCTTTTGTGACAAAAATCGGGAGAATTCCAAAGCTAAAATTCGGGAATCAAATTTTCAGGAAGATGATGATGAGGTGGCAAGGCAGGTTCGCCAGGAGAAGAGGGAGAAAATGCAAGAAGAGAAACTTGCGCTTATTCGGAAAAAGCAACGGGTACCTTAAACTTGAAAATTTAACTGTGGCTTGCCTAGGATTTGGAGCGAGAGGGAGCTTCTGGGCGCCCGGGGACTCGCCGTTATTTAGGTTTGATATAAAAATTTCCTTAATATATAGAATTTAAAAAATAATAATATGCCTTAATTTCAGGTGGCCTTAGCAATATGCCGGATCGTCGACAGAGTCTGGCTTCTTAATGTTTTTCACGATTCAATAAGTCTATCCGGTGTGCTGAATAAAGATATTTATACGCGAGCTACGGAAAAATCACAAAGATTTTTCAGTCTATGATTTTATAGTTTTTGCAATATTCTATACGTTTTATATAATTTATTTTAATTTTACTACCGCCACCCCAACGCCAACCATTACCCCATAAAAACCCGGCCTTGCCCTACATAGCCGTGTCGTTTGTAGCCCAGCGTAGCCGCCAGAAAACTGGTCTGGCTGCTTCGTGTTCCACTGTTTCTTTGTCAAATTTTTTACATTAATACAGCTCTAAAATAATTATATAATAATAAATTAAACTTCAGAAACTGAATGCAGCTTCTGCTGCTAGCAACCTGGTTATGGATACCGGGAATTCAGATGATAACCCATTGGAAAAGGGATGACGATGGGGTGATGCGATCTCTGGTTCGTCTATTGCTTCCAGAAAATTATTTTTATTAATTTGGAGTTATATAATCGATTCTACATTATTGTTATAGTGTTAAATTATTTTTTACAGAGGTATTCACCATTTATGATGAGCGATCCGGGAAATTTGGTGAAATTTATTGAACAAACCAAGTTGGTCGATACAACAGTGATTGCCATCAAGGAGCTCAATGAGAAAGTGGTGAGTTGATGGAATTGATCATTTAATTTTTTTTCGAAAATTAGAATTTCGATTTGGCTAAATTACCATAACGGCGTCGGGTTCTCTGGCATTATCAGGGGGGACTAACTTTTTTAAAGGATCCGATTTGTCTAATACAAATAGTCGTGTGTCTGAACCGTTTTTCACTATTCCTAAATGTAAAAACTATACAAATTGCTATTAAAAGCGACACGAAAATACAGATTTTTCGACGTTTTATTAAAAAAATGCATGAAAAATAGGCTAAAAGCTCCAAAATTTCAAAATGTCAACCTTTTTAAAGGCATTTTTTGATAACTTTCTAGCCATCAGAAACTCCTAAAAACACATTAAAATACAGCACATATTATCAACAGGTACGTGGGAAAACGAAATTTCCCCTGTTAAAATTTCCCCCGCACCCCACTAAGAGTTCAGTAGCGATAGAGAATCTGTTTTTCGTCGTTTATTTCGACCAAGCAAGATTTCGAAAACGCGAAACTTCAGGTACGCGGTTTCACAATCCTACCCTTTTCCAGGACGACTTGCATACCACGCTAAGTGGTGATGATCCGAAGCTGGAGCACAAGATTTACCGAACAAATCCCGACTGCGTACTGGTGCGGCCAACATGGTCCATGTTATAGGCCAACATGTTTATTTAGGCGAAAGGCTCGCCTCTCCCGACCTCAAGCTATTTGACAAATTATGCCGTCGAGCAAACGCGGGAATATGTTGCTCAGGCTCGACAGTCAGTTTTTTTCTATGCTTTTTGTCGAATATTCTGCGACCCTGTTTGAAATTTTATAGAGAAAAGCTAGACGTCAATTCAAAAATAAAATTCTCTATCGAATGAGCTGTTTTTCGATCGGTTTTCGAAACGGCCCCAATCAAATAAAAACCACAGAGTCTACGAAAACGCTATTTTAGGGACCTTCTGGCGGAAATGTCCCGCACCCCCGCTGCAACAACTGAGCAGCCAAAATGTAGAACCACGCAGACACGTGAAGCCTATGAGTTTCTCCAAGCATTACCGGTATTTATGCAAATTGAATTGAAATTTTAATGGCTTGCCTTTTAGCTTTTCCGGGACCCATCACAGCTGACCTTAAAGCATGCTCCGGATATGGTCAAGGCATCGCTTCCGCTTTGGGAAACGATTGAGCTGGTTGGTTTTTGGATTTCATGGTTTTAAAGGGACTGACAAGGCACAGTAGTTGTTCTATAGCCTATCCATAGTCATGACTTGCCAATGCTTTTAATCGGCTCATTTTTAATTTTTAGCTACCTGGCGAGACACGTACTGAAGCGTTGGGAAGATGGCTGGTCGCCGCTTTGGCAGACCCGAATGAGGTAGAGCCAAATTTACATCACATATCAACGATGAAATTAATTGCTCTAGAAAATCCGTGGTCACCCAGTGGTCCTACTTGGAGCGTCCACATACTGGCGTATCTTGGGGAATGCCGAAGAAGCTGTCATTTGTGCACAGTCGGCGTTATATCAAGCATCGATTAGGTATTGCATAAGATATATTAGTAGCAGTGTTCAAGTATCATAATGTCGAAAAACGTAATGGCGTAATTTCAGGACGTCGAAATTCGTTTGTATAAAATTTCGGGGTTATTTCCGGGGCTTATGTGAAATTCGCATTTTGGATTGTCGAAATTTTAAAATTTCGACGTTTTGAAAGTTATAAAGTATTTATTTAAGGCGTAATTAAGATGAATAAAATACACCATCACAATTCAGCGTTTACTCTTTAGTTATCCAACCTTCGAACCCTATGCCCTCTTTACCCTTGGTAACATCTACCATATGACCAGACATTCCGAGGAGGCCATGCTTTTATATCAGGTACCTTTCGTAGTCATCATCATAATCTCATTTTTAGCTGATTTTAACCGACGAAAGATACGAAAACCATAAATCCCTACGTGCATTGGCGTATGCTGCCCTTGGCGATGGATATGCTGTTGCGGAAAATATCTCCAAAGCTGCCTTCCACTTTAAAATCGCTCGAGAAATCGCATCGGTATGTTTTGAAAATAATAATAAATAACTTAAATAGCTGTAACTTTTTGAATCGAGCCTTTAACAAAAATTAAAAAATATTTGGAATCAGTGAAAAATTCTTCACCAGATAGGCGTGGTCTGCATGTAGATGAACCGAAAATAAGTAAATTTTAAAGGCTGATGAGACGCAGATGGATAAGGACCAATGGAACGAAAAGATTGGAACAATCGGCTGCCTGGCGACGATGTATACTAAATTGGAGGGCCAAATGGTGAGAGTCATTAGTTAATTAACGCGTATACAAATTTTATAGAACTCGTTGGACGGTTATATCCAGAATAGTGGGGCCTACGAGGAGAAGCGTGTCGAGATAGAGGAGATGCAGAAAGTGGTTGGTTTTTGGGGGCAAAAAATGTGCTTTTTGGCTGAAAAAACTCTTTTGATGGTCAGGTGCGTCTAAATCTAATGACGGAGGATGTTGTCCAGCAAAGTCATATGCGCTACGAACAAATGAAATACGGCCCGACGCCCAGTAAGTCCCGAAAAAATCGACGCATTACAAAAAACCTGTTGCAGCCCGTAGATGCGTGGTGGTGCACGTAGGAAAGCGTCGCTTGGAGCAGATCCATTGTTATTTGTCGTCAACCGTGAAAGAATATGAGAAAATGATCGCCCGCCTTGAACCCGAGGAGCTGCGTGCATCGCCACAGGTTCGGAATCTGGGATCGATGTTGAGGGTTTGGATTTAGAACGATACGCTCGAGTGGAAGACAGCGCCCGTTTGGCGGCGGGAGCGTGCTTTTGATCAGAAGTTGGCTCAGTTTGTCGGGATGAGAATGGATGAGCCACCAGTTGCCCCGAAATATCCCCTCGATAAGTTTGTATTAAATGCTTAGTAAAATACAAAATGGGGTAGAATACATCTCAAAAAAACTTTACCTAGAATCCGAACGTCCAAAATTGGTACTGGACGGTTAGCGGGGGGTTAGCATGGGGAAACTCAGCGTATTATTTTTATATTTTTGGTTGTTTCCAAAGGCTGGAAAGTTACAAAAAATAATTTAGACATTTTAAAATCCGAAAATGTTGAGCTTTTAGTTTTAAGTTTTCACATTTTTGAACAAAAATTCGCAAATTTTCGAAGTTTGTAGAGGTTTTTTATGACCTTTTATGCTATAAAGCAATCCAGTACAATTTTTAATGTTAAAAAATCAACCAAATCTTGATTGAAAAATGCCGACTTGTAATCATATATTTTTCAGAGAAAAGCTCCGTAATCTGGCCCCAGAACGCTATTGGCGGCGTGCCGATTGGCCGAATAGCCACGAATGCGCAAAGGGAATGCTTTGGGATGAGGAATTGTTTGGAAACAATTCGATCTACCCCTATTTCATCTCCCCTGATAACAAGGGATTTATGTGAGCGTCTGGTTTTTCCCATTTTATAGTGTTTTTAGCGTGGCTGACCTGCTAACAAAATATCTTGGATTGGAGATTGCCGATGAACATCCATTACCGTGGGATGAGCCAGATTGCGGTCGCTATAATCAACATCGAACACTGATGGCCACGGTAGAATAGTTTAATCTTTTTAAACTCATTTTTTTAGGAATTTAAAATACCCCCGGAAGTGTGGACGAGCAAATTTGATTATAATGAACGCGATCTTAGGTAAGGATATTCAAGTAACGTTTACCTTGGTTCAGATTCAGATTAGTATTTTGTAATTCATTTTGTCGACATTTAAACGCGCTGAAATTTCCATTTTTAAAACGTTTCAGATGCATCATCGAAGCGAAAAAGCTTTTAAAATTCGAGAAAACCATTTTTCGACAAAATCGACGATTTTTCGAAAAATCTAAATAATTTCTTAATTTCCATTCAGATCCACTTTTGTCCGATTGGCCGACAAAAGACTCGAATTAATGGATGTGGCCCAGCGAGTTCGATCTCTAATTGAAAACGTGAGAAGATTTGGTGGTTTTAACGATTTTCTCTCTTAGAATATTGGCCCAAAATGGATATCCCTGAATCTGGCCACTTTGTACTATCGAGTTATCGGGAAAGCCGAGGAAGCGGCGCGTTGTGCTATTGTAGCGGCGATGGAAGGGGTATTTTGAGGAGGAACTGGAGGAGTATGAGCTGCATTTTCAGCCGGAATACGCCGACGTTGCATTCACGCAATTGGCGCAGATTCTATTTCGGGTAACCGGAAATGCCGATTATTCCATCGACATCATGCGGGTTATTGCTAATTATGGGGCGGATGAGGTATTGTAAATTCTAAAATGAAAATTACGCCAATTTAGCCACTATATCACTATTTAATGGCCCGATTTCATATTATTGCATATCGGGTGGATGAAGGTATGTTAATGTTTCTTAAAAGTATACATTTTTTTAGGAATTGCCCATTTAAAAGAAGCTCTCGATCGTGATCCCTCTCTTACTGTAGCTCACGATGATTTGTTACAACTTGTCTGCAAAGGAAAAGTATGGTTTTAGAGTTATTACATGTTTTGACCTATTTTAGAGCTCAAAAGTTGGGGTTCGTGATATGTTCCCAAATGTGTGTTGCTCGTCGCTGGTGCAAAATGCCGTTTGTATACGGGTTAGTTTAACAGCTTCATATTTGCATCTAGGAATTCAAATTTCTGGGTTTAAATTATTTTATTGGACAAATCAGCTAGATTTATTTCATATTTTTAGCCACCAAGAGCCCCGGAACAATGCTACGTAGTAGGGGAGGAGACTGGGAAATTGATCTACGCACGATGCAATGGATTATATACGGTAGGTTGGGCGTTTTATAGAAAAAACACTAAATTGCCTTATCAGAAAAACGTATTTTAGGGCCTCTCTGAGAAAACACATCCGCTCGTCAACCTAGTATCTCCATTTTTGCGGGTATTCCCGAAAGGGTCTCGTCACGATCTTATAAGATATCATGTTGATGAGGGAATTGTACAGCATATTGAGCATGATGAGGTAGGAGCATCAGATCATCAGAAAAATACCTAAATATCTGCAATATAATGCTGATCGTGTAATAACGCATATTTTTCAGTTACCGTTAGACCACGGTGGCTCGGCTGAATTCTTCGTGAAGCATGATAGGTGGTGGGAACGGGCTACACACACCGTTCGTTGGAAGCAACCGGAGCCGGAAGAAATGTTGGTTTCAGCGTTAAATTGTGAAGCTTGAAAATAGTGGAAAGTATATCGCTTTTTTCAGAAGTGATTGGTCTGAAACAATCGATTATCAACAACCACAAATTCCGCCGGTTTGTTGGTTTTTCTAGAAAATAAATATACCATTTTAGCGCCCACTTTCATTCTTGTGGATTAATGATAAGAAGGAGATGCTGCGGTATGATATTCGTCTACCAGAGGTTGGTTTTGAGGTCTACGCCTAGGCCGAAGACTAAGCAAAGCCTAAGCCTAAACGAAGCCGAAGCCGTGGTCTGAGCCTAAGCCTAAACCTACGCCTTAGCCGTAAACTAAGCCTAAGATTTAAGAAAAGAAACAAAACAAAAAACATAAATCGCTCAGGTACTGCCGAGACCATTGCCAACCCAAGTCCAAGCTGGCCTCCAAATCTTCCCTCCCCCAAGAACTGCCACTCAAATGTGCAGTGGCGTCAAGAAAGTTTGTGCCTTAATTTTATCACTCAAATTATTATTTTTTTAAGCTCTCAATCCTGCTTGAAACACCCGTCCCGACTTGGGTTTCTGTCACCGCCAAGGGAGAAGACCTCGAAAAGTTTGTCCAAATTATTTTCTAAAAAGTAATGAGAAATTTAGATACATCGACATTCGGGCTCCAGTCCCTTCAGTAGCCGGTCTCGTGCCGGAATGCCCGGAATTGAAGCCAAGCCAGCATTCCCCGCTTCTCACCCTCGATCATCTGCCCATTCAGCCATTGGCCGATCAGTTCCTTTTCTACAAGCCCGAAAAGGGTCTCACGGAGGTAAGGAAAATAGCAGGAAAATCATTCCGAAAAGTGCGGGTTAAAGTTTTTTTAAATCTGAAAAGTTTAAATAGTTAAGTTTAAGTTATTGTTATTATTTTTAAATAGCTGTTACCTAGCTGGCTATAAACTTGGAGCACTGTTATGTAGTGCATACTGCATCTCGTTTGAAAATTTGACATATTGACTGAAATCCGCCCAAGTTTTCATCTAAAAACTTCAAGCCTCAAAAGCCAAGCAAATGTAAGCTTACTTTGATAAAAAAGCAAAAATTCGTGCTCGGATAATGTAGGTATACCACATGAGGATTCAGTGAGAGAGTTCGTTCATCATCGCACGCCGCCGCCGGGGGTCGAACCCGGGTGGTGTGGGCGGGGCCGCCCGCACACAGGCACTTAGCCACACCTGCATCCCGGATTCCCTCTTTTCAGTCGCTCAAGTCGCTGGGGAACGATCGGGAAAGTATCGAGCACGTTGCCGCCCGTCTCCATCATGCCCTCAAATTCTCACAGGCAAATCCGGGGATGAATGGTGGGGTATTTTTGGAGTAATATTTTAATCTAATAGCCGATTCTTACTAATATAATGATCATAATTTTTATAATGATCCTGATAAATATATCGGAGAGCTTTTTGGAACACAACTTTTTAGGAAAAGAAAGTGACGTCCACTGGTTGTTAACGGTAGTATCCTCGTTATACTGGAGGGTGGTTGGCGATGCACCGAAAGCTATTGGTTGTCTACGGTATTCACTCAATCATTGCCCGCCACATATGCGGGATGTCGCGCTGGTGAGGAATTTTTCAAAATTTTCTTCTTTGAAAGTGTTTTTCGTCTCGGAAACCTCTCGAGACATAGCCTATCGGATACATAATTTAATTCTGAACAAATCGCAGCCCTTTATTTTTACAAAATGGTTATTTATGTTTTATAAACTTAAAAAATTATCCGTGGCAATCACTTCCGGGCACACGGTTTTTTAATTTTATAAAATCGTGATAGCTGGCTTGCAAAACTTAACAATAGCATATTGTTCAGAATTAAATTCTCTATCGAATGAGATCTATGATATAAAAGGTATATTATTTCTATGGTCAGGTTGCCCTATCCAACGTCTGCCACCAAGCCGGCTTGCTGCATTCGGCGCTCGTCACCGCTGGTATGGCCCTCGAGCAATCCCCTCATCTTGCCGCTATTCACGTTACTGTGGCCAACATTTATGCAAGCATTGTAAGTTTATAAGAAATAAATCGAAATCTCAGATTAATAAAGTAAATTATCTAAATTCCAGGGCGACTACGAGCGTGCTCTCCAGTTCTACTACTCCACTCTCAGCTTGCAAAACAACTTTGAGCCGGCAAAAGATCGTATTCGGGCCATTTACTGTCATTCTGGGCAGACATTTAATTTCCATAATTAAGGATATATTGTTATTTTATATTATTAACACTTGGCAAAGGCTGCTTAGCAACTTTATCATAGCTTGAAAGGGCTTAATTTCTATATTTCGACCATTTCTAAGATTCCATACAAATTTACCGTAGTATTTTTGCCGTATTTTCAATTACATGAAGTTATAACACTAAAAAAGTTAACCGGCCTTTATTATTATGATTATTTTTCGCTCAACTTATCTGTGATCCCACTATCAAAATGCATTTCCCAAAATCCTTGCCTTCCCACCATTTTTTGATCAAACGGGTCTCACTCCACTTGATGCTAATTACGCTTTCTGGTGATAAATTGGTTCTTGAAAGAGCTAGGAAGTCGTGTGTATTGATTATGTTAATCACATCCACGCGAGCGAAACATTGGATATAATTAGACCGGGGCTTTATATGCTCCACTGCATCTGCTAATAGCATAAATTGCAGGAGGCGTCGGCTATGTTTTTATGTAGTAGAATGGGGGGAGGATGTGCTGGCCATGGGGACCAAGGTACAAAAAAAAGAAAAAGAATAATCCATTTGATTTGCCTAAGTGACGTTTAGAGGGCAGCAACTGCAGACATGCCTGCACTTGTCAACGCACTCCAGAATATCTGCCTTCAGTTGCCAGATTCTGTTCATGACATATTGGCCGGATGGGTTAAAAGCGGAATTCGGTTGCTCATCACCATCCACGGATGCCGTTCATTTTTCGGGCTTTTTTAGCGTTCTTACCGTAGTCTTGTGGAAATTCGAGGTTTGGGGCTGTTGGTACACATCGGTGACCAACATTTTTCTGTAATACAAATAGTTTTAAATACGGTTTTTGGGCAATAGAAAGCTCGTAGCTATCGAAAAACAATTTCAAAATATCGAAAAAATTTGAAATTCCGACAATCGTTTTCTTTCTTATCCTATCTGCTGTCCTTAGGCTATAAAACTTTTTTTATCACATATTTTTGTGATCTCGATGTTAGAAAAATGAGAAAATACCTGTTTTTCGCAGGGGAACGCCATTCATTGCTAAAAGTGGTGGAAACACGGAAACGATGCGAGGGGGTGGTGGCGTTAATCCCTGACTTTCAGCGCGATTTAATTGAGCGCGGTGATTCGGCGGAATCTGGACTGGTTTTCTTCAGAATCGGCTGCGAAATGGACTGCAGGCACTTCCAGAATTTTTGAAGGGAAAACAACTGCTTTTTTTTGACATTTTTCGTTACTCCTCAGCCCGTGGATCCCAAAATTTTCGATATTTTCGCTATTTTTCGGGGGGTTTCGTCGCCTTTCGATAGAACGCTGAAAAATATACTAAAAATTTTAATCACAGCTCAAAATATCGTGCTCCAAAAAGTTATAGCAAAATCACTTTCGAAGAAGCGCTCAAAAAGCTATTTATCGATATTTTGGTGATTTGTCGGTATTTTCAACCTGCCAATTGATAGCGCTTCAAAAAATCTACAATGCATTTGAATGGCGACCGAAAATAATGTAATATAAAATGGTTACAGCAAAAAAATACTTTTTGGGAGCTTCCGGGGGGGACTCTTGCCATTCGTTGCGTCAATTCTATAGCAAATTGTTACCTTGCTAGGTCCTTTAATGTACTGGTTACCCTAGATTTTTTTAATACGTCACCCAAACCAAATCTGTTACCCCCAGGACAAAATACAAAAAGCCTAGGGGCAGCCATCTCGACATGGGTCCTCTCATAACACGTGAATAACTCATTGGCCCCCATCCCGTGTCCTTCTTCACTTTTTATTCTTCTCTTCCCGACCTATTTTTGGTGAAGACTCCCCGGAGTCTTCTCGAAATACAATGCCAGTTACAATGGCTGCCAACTCATTGTTTTTGGTGGGTGGGTGACATCGAATTATCGTGACTCCACCCCCTCAAGGGACCTTTAATTTGTCGTTTACTGGCGATACTCGAGGAATACTGGAAGAGACATCACCATCACGGCTATCCCAAAACACTGCTATGATTCTGATTTTTCACGAGTCAGGCGGCTTGCCAAAAATCGTGGAGGATCTACCGTAACCCGACGTTTTATACATGAGTTTTAGCTTTTTTTATATCAGGAAACCGGCTCAAAATATCGCTCATTTGCTAGAGCTTAAGTTTAAAAGCATGATTTCGTGGCTATTTTTTGCAAAAATGTTTGGTACTGGGGTGTTACCAGGGGGGCTAGCTCATTTTACCGAGTAATTCCTATCACGTTCCATTAAAAAAAAAAAATATTTTTTACACTATTTTAAGCTCATAAAAACCTATAAAAATCTTCGAAATCTTTTAATTTTTTGGTCAGCATGTGGGAAATTGGACCAAAAAGAAACAAAATCTTTGAATCTTGAAAAATTTGAAAATATTTTTTGTAACTTCCTAGCAATTAAACACTATGAAAACTTGATAAAAATGCAGTATTTATTATTAAACGGTAGGTATAGTGGGAAAAACAAAAATTAGTTTTACCCTTGGCTAAAACCCCGCCCGCTAGGTTTCCAGTGCCCAATGCATTTCATACGATACGTTGTACACAAATGACACTTTGCGCCGTCAATACCAATCCGCACCCATTATCAATGGATAACACGGTTTTTAAATTAAAAAGAAAAATTAAATTTTTCAATTTAAAAATTCTTAAACTAAAAATTGCTCACAAGCCCAAACCAAAACATTCATGCGTTTCTAAATCGAGCTCCATTACCTCGAGCGCGATATAGGAAAATTGGGGAAGGAAGTTTGAAGGGCGGTGAGATGGATGAGGGTTGGCTGGATGGGCTGAAAAGCGAACGATCGGGTCACCAGGTCGGCCATTTCTATACACTAATGAATGGGAATGGGGGGCTGAATAAGCGTGGGTGTGTTTCCATACTCATCGTATCCATTCGCTTGCGCAACAACGGCACTTCCGTCTGATCCGAGGTGACGCCATTTTTCGTGATTCAGGAAGTTTGGCTACAATTTTAAGAGTCGTTTTTAATTTATGATTTTGGGGGCTGGTGCTCATTTGATAGAGCCTGGTGCTCATTTGATAGAGCTTGAAATTCTGAACGAGACCCAACTTTTAAACCCTACCGGTAGCGGGCTTCGAGAAAATTGGCGAGGAAATAAATGCTGCAAAAATGCGATTTTTCCGGAATTTCCAGCTTTTTTACTGAGTTCTACTATGAGCATGAGAAGGAGAATGAGCTCACTCGATTGAGCTTGACCTCGCAAAATTTCTTTTGCCACGCCGACTCCTTCTAAAGTGCTGCCTTGTAATTCTTACTCTTCCAAAAACCAACCTTCTCCTCCAGCTACCTATCATCCCCTCATTTCGTCACGATATCCGCACGTCCTTCCTGCTGCAACCCCCATAAATTTATTGCTTTTTCTTGGGTTCAGAATATGCTAATGAGGCCCCCCCTGCCTGCACCCACCTCCCGAAACACCAAAGTATCCACACGCTTCCGAGTACCTTGAAGTTTCCGAGTTTCCGTATCTACGTGTGGATTGGGGAGGGGAGCTGGCACTCATTCAATTCCCTTTAAAGGGGGAAGATGGATGTGGCATGTTGGATTCGGTGCTTTTACAGGCCCTCCATTTCATTCCTCTTTACATTCCTGACCCACCCTCCAACAGATGGGTCGGGTTTCCGTTGGGATCCCACATTGGTATCCGCAAAAATATATTTCTTAAATGGAGCATAGAAATGCATTTTTGTTAGAGTTTTGGGTACGACTATCTTCTTGGTGTTTCTGAAGCCTACGCCTAGCCTAAGCCTAAGCCTAAGCCTACGCCCAAGCCTAAGCCTAAACCTAAGCATATGGCCAAGCCAAAGCCTAAGCTACGTTTAAGCCTAAACTTAAGCCTAACCCAAGCCCTAACCCAAGCCTAAGCCTAAGCCTAAAACTAATTAAGTCTAAGCCGCAGACTATACCGAAACCTAAGACTACGTTTAAGCCTAAGCGTAAGCCTAAACCTGATTAAGTCTAAGCCCCAGCCTATACCGAAGCCTAAGCCTCAGCTAAGCCCAAACCAAATCTAAGCCAAACCCAAGCCCAAGCCTAAGCCTAAACCCAAGCTAGGTTTGAGCCTAAGCCGAGCGTAAGCCTAAGCTTAAGCCCAAAGAAATAGATATCTGAAAAATTGGATGGAATATTCTCATTGCTCTAACCAAATACACCTTTGTTTCCAAAACACCTCTATCCCCAAAAGTGCACCCCAATCTATCACTACACGTAGCTATTTATCCCAGATTCAAAGAAGATGGATCCAGATTTGAGACTAGCATATACTCCCTACCTTCCTATGTTGCCTTTTCTCCCCTCTTCCCGCCCAGTGGCTTCTTCCATTTCTCTTCTCATTCCCATTGCCTATATTTAGTGTCGGTCTAAAGGGTCTAATCTTACATTCGGGCCCCGCTTCTGATGAGTTCCTCCCTCTTGCATCTCGTCATTCGCGCTGGCCCTGGCTGGGGGGGTCTGGCTTTTTGCCTTAAATTTCTGGGGCATTCGCTGATTTTTTATGACTCACCAGAAACTTACTCTGCTCCATATTAACATTTTTAATTATGTCAATTTTCTAAAATTCAGATGTGGGCGCGACTGCTCTCGCTCTTGGCCCTGGTTATGGTGGCTGTGTCGGCAGCTCCATTCTTGGTCTTCGACATGCCTGATCGTCTCTCATCCCTTCAGGTATATGGAGGGATACCTTACTTTTTTACATGTCAATTAGTTTTTGTGTATTAAACTGGTTAACGCTTTTAAATAATATCATTAAAAATACATGCGAGTGTGCACCTTGTTCCCCAGACTGTGGACCCAAGTTCCCAATTTTGTATCTCAGCTCCCCGTTGGCCTACAAAATTGTTAGGTATACGAAAATGTTTGTCATGATTTGGCGAGTTTTTTGGTATAATGTATATTTTCATTTTGGTAGCATTACGGGCAATCGGAACGCAAACGTTTTTTAAGTGTCCACGTAGTTTCGAAAAGCCTTTTTGCGC